GCTCAGTCTTCCCTAAGGTCCAGCTCTCACATCCGTAGGTTACTACAGGGAATACCATGGCTTTGACTATGCTCATCTTTGTTGCCAGTGTGATGTCTCTACTCTTCACTATTTTATCGAGACTGGACATTGCTCTCCTCCCAAGAAGTAAGCGTCTTCTGATTTCCTGGCTACAGTCTGCATCTGCAGTAATCTTTGCACCTAGAAATACAAAGTCTGTCACGGCCTCCACGGTTTCTCCCTCTATTTTCCAGTTGTCAATCATTCTTGTTGCCATAATCTTGGTTTTTTTGACATTTAGCTGCAACCCGGCTTTTGCGCTTTCTTCTTTCACCTTGATTAGAAGGCTCCTCAGCTCCTCCTCGCTTTCGGCCATCAGAGTGGTGTCATCTGCATATCTGAGGTTGTTAATGTTTCTTCCAGCAATTTTCACCCCAGCTTTTTTCAACCCAAACACCCTTATTGCTCCGTAAAAGGTATTAGATACAAGGTATGCAAGGTTAGTAAGGCCAAAAATAGCCAAAACTGATTAAAACCAACCTCAATTCAAAGTGCTTGCTTTGGCCTATAAACCCTAAACGATTCCAGCCCAGCTTATCTATCCGAACGTGTCTCTTCCGACGAACCCTCCAGGAACTTGAGATCGTCCTAGGAGGCCCCGCTCTCAATCCCGCCTGCTTCGCAAGCAAGTCTGGCGGGGACGAGAGACAGGGCTTTCTCGGTGGTGGCCCCTCGGTTGTGGAACTGCCTGCCTAGCGATATTAGATTAGCCCCCTCCCTCCTGACCTTTTGGAAAAGAATAAAAATGTGGCTCTTCGAGCAAGCATTTGGAACCTCGGAATAGATAGACAAACTTGAATGGGAAAATGACCCAGGAACGGCCCAAGATGATGGAATGGATGAGGATTTGAATGAGAGGACATAGTTCTTTGTTTTTAAATTGTTATTATGCTCTGTCTTTATGTTTAAATGAACTATAATGGGTTTTTTTTTGCTTATTAATGTATGTATTTTTATGGCATCGAATTGTGCCGACTGAATCACCTTCGGGCTGATATGGGTGGGATAGAAATAATGTAAATAATAATAAATAATAAATAAAACACACGATGTGGGTGGAATTAACAGCAGATAAAACTGATAAAAAAGTATTAAAACTTATAACCAGCATTTAAGATAGAAATGACCTAGGTAAAAGACTACAAAGGGTAACAGTCATGTTTCATCGTGCCATAACATAAAATACTTTAAATTATATGGTTTCAAGTATATTTTATATAGACTTCATTAAATCAAATTTCTATTTTAGTTAAAGTTTCAAGTCTTAAAATAACTGAAAATGATTGCTAATTGATAATTTATAGTTACAAAAGAATACCACAACGTTTGTTAGAAACACTTGAAAACTGTGTCAATACACTTTGACAGAAATCAGGCTGTATTGATAAACTTTGGTGGACAATCAAGAGTGCAAGTCCAGTCAGTCTTTCTTGCCTCATTGTGCTTAATGTTTAAGGGTTGAAAACGACCTTTCATTTGTAGCTGTTGACACTGGCAATGTTGCAGAAATCTGAAGAAGTTTCTTCACATTCAGAAAAAAACTGTCCATCACAGACAAGATAAGATATGCTTCCAGTGCATTTGATGGTTTTTCTGCAGGTGCAGTCTCATAGACTTAGCATAGGGATTTGATTAACCAGTTAAAATTCATGAGTAAACCAATTTTTTTTAACCTGAAAAATTTCGGGGGGGGGGGGGNACTTCTGTCCATAGTTCTTCTGGGACTCTGTTTACTAAATCTAGTCCTTCAAATCTGTTCTTCACTTCCATGGAGTGGATACAGGCAAACAAATCAAAGCCCAATTAATAGGAAATAGAGGTCTTCCTGGTTCGGCTGATCAGTAAATAGGGATACAGCTTGTGCTGGAATATGCAGGTTTGCAGTTTAGGTGTACTCCTGGACTCATCTTTGAATCTGGAGGCCCAGGTTTCTGTGAGGGCCAGAGATGTTTGTGCCAACTGCACCTGTCCCTGAAGGTGTCTGATCTCACTGTGGTGTACATGTCTTTGTTACATCCCATGTGGATTACTGTAATACACTTGACATGTGACTGCCTTTGAAGTGTGTATGGAAACTTCATTTGGTACAAAGAACAGCAACTGGAGCATTAACTGAAACTGCTACAGGGATCATGCGACACCCCCGCTCCACTGTTGCTCGTTTGTTCCTCAGCAGAATTAAAAGTGCTGGTTATGACCTATAAAGCTCTGTAAGCCTTGTCCAGGTTTTTTGATAGACTGGGTCTCCCCTATGAGCCTTCCCAGAACCTGTGATCAGCAGAGATCTTTCAGTCCCATTACCTTCAGAGGTAAAATTTGTGAGAAAGCCACCTTTCCAGTGGCTGCTTCTAGAATTCTGCTACTCCTATCCATGCTATCCCCTTTCTTGAATTCTTCCAGCCAGGGCTATTTCCCTCTCCTTTCCCAATTACCAGGATTTCTGATATTGCTTCCTCTGTAGGTGGCTGGCAGGAGCAAGTGACCTACCCCCACCATGCCCAGAACCTCCTGCTTTTCTACCAGATGCTTCAGCGAAATGGCTTCCGTCAGGAGCACATCAAGGCCTTCTTTGCAAATGAGGGACAGGCCTCAGGTACAAGTGAAAGAACTGGGAAACACCATTGAGTTCCTGCCTATACTGCTTGAATGTCAGTACTGCTGGTCAGAAAGCAGGATTCCTCGTGGTTTCACCATCTGTTGGGTCTTTGCCATGTACTTCTCTAGAGCTAGAAAAAATTGGGAAAGTGAGACTATGGCTTCCAGGTTTTCCCAGCCAGGGAGTACTGGCAGTTCTAGTCCAAAAACTAAACTTCCCAAAACTTTTGTCCTACTCTTCCCTATTATTGATCACCTCTATGGCCCCAACATTCCCCAGAAGCTCTTGCTTTTCAGAGTGACATAATTGCTTCCTGAGTGACACAGACAGAGTGGCTTTCTTGCAGCGTGAGAGCCTGGTCCATTTTTCCATATTTCCTAATGGATGCCTCCTTCCTTAAAGGGCAGGATGGTGATGGGTGGTTCTTGAATATGGTTGGAAAAGGTATGTAGATGTTATTGGAGATCAGAGGTGAAGGAAGGCCTTGGTTGACGTTTCCCTCTTCTTTCCTGGCCAGTGGCTGTGGAGATGGGTGAAGTGCATCCCGCCACAGAGAAGCTGGCCATCCGCTCCCACCTCGCCTTACTCTGCAGGAGCCTCCATTGTGCCGACTCACTGGTGCTCTACCTCAACAGCCCAGCAGCAAGTGATGGCACGATGCTTTTGTGGGATTCCAACCGTAATGGCATTGTGAGTACGGTTGGGGTGAAAAATGTGGGGAGGCTGCCTGTTTGGCGCCTGGGCTGTCTGTCTGAATATTCTCACCTGGTACTAGTCTTTGCACCCTTCATTCTCATTACAAAGAAATCAGTCAGTTCAATCGCTGCAGTCCAAAGGAGTCTTCCACTTTACGGGAGATAACTGTCTTACAGAGAAGTTGCACAGACAACTGCCGCCTTCTCTGTTTCTACTGATCTTTCACCTTTTGGTGAAGGACAGGGTTGTCTTTGTGTCACACCGGCATACTGCGCTCAGGTATGGTAGAAAATGTTCTCCTACCAAGTTGGACAGCCATAGCTGCACACCATAAGAGAAATTCAGCCATCATGGAAAGTACAAAGATGCTTATTCAGAAGCAAGGCAGCAATATCTCTTCTAGAGGCTTCTCTGCCCATTTTAGGTTTGTATTTGGTGGCAAGGGCTTCATTGACTGAAAGTGGAAAGTGAAGGGATCCACTCTTTCTGGGAAAGGGATGTAGAATTGGCAAGGGGGGGGGGGTCATCCCACCTGTCCCAGCATGTCCTGGACAGACCATCATGGAAGGCAGAGAGATGTTGACAGAACTGCAGGTGGGGACTCAGCCCTCTCCTCTCATCTGTTCCCTTCAAAGGCTTGTCCAGCTCTTTCATGTGTGCCTGCAGGGAGAAAGCAAGGCCAGCTAAGCAGTGGGTGCTGGCCCTGGCCTGCTCTTTCCTATTTAATCTGCTCCTTTTAACTCCCAGGCAGTGGAATTCCCTTGATCTCTGAACTGTAGAGTTGTGGGGTGGGGGGCTGCAACAAAAGGGCAGGTGCTGATGAGCTGTTCTTTCCACTTCTCTACTAACAGGCTGATCCGAAGGAGAGGTACCCCATCACAGAGCTCTTAGCTGACCTGGAGAACTGCAATGCCCGTAGGGTCCTCCTCTTTCTTGACCAGAGCTATCCAGGGCCATTGGCAAAGAAGCTACGGGCATCACGACGCCATCCCAATGTGGTGCTAGTCCGCAGCAATGGAGCTACCACTGGTGGTTCAGCTTTTGCTGAATTCTGGGCAGGGCTGCAGCCTGACCAGTGTCTGCTCCAGCATATCTTGCCGGTAAGTGACACAAAAAGCACAGCCATATACATGAGAGGCCATGGCTGCAATTCTGTATCATCTACTTATATATAAGTTTAGCTATGTAGCTAAGTAGTATCTCCCAGCTCAACCACCCTAACCCTACTTATCAGGCATCTGCCCCTGCAAGTGACAGGGGTCTGTTCCTCTGTCGTTTGGGAAGCCACCATGGAGTCCGGGGTCATTTTGCACTGAAGAAATATAGCATTGTGGTTCTACTTTAATACCCATGAGATTCCAGCCTTTCTCCTTTTTGAGAAAAAGGAGAAAGAACCACCGAGCAGTAGGTCAAAACGAAGCCATTTCTCCTTTCTTGCAGGTGGGCCCCTGGTCTGCAGTCTTGGCCTCTGGTGTCCCAGCCCAGCTACTCAATGTCACATTAGCAGGAGCACCTTGCCATTCTGTGCCACCCCTGGGCGAGGAGGAGCGCCAGCGCCGCTACCAAGGATGTCAAAACCTTCCTACAATGTTGTGGTATCAGAGTAGACACCAGCAGCTGCCACAGGAGGATGAATGAGCCGCCTGATGGGTTATGGATCTGGGTTTGTCCTCAAGATCCCAGCCAGACATGCTGTAGCTTTTTCCTTTGCCCACAAAGATGTTTACCTTTTGGGATGGAGTGGAATTACTTTGAAGGCTGTCCAAGGAGTTGGCATGGAATGGCTGGGGAACATGGGATAGGTCGAGGCATTCCTAGTAAGCTGCTGTGCTGGACTCTCAAAGACCATTTTAAGTAGCTAAGGCCAAAATGAGAATCCAAGGTTAGCAAACCTTGATATTACATTATTATCAAGGATATATACATATAGGGTTGAGCATCCCTTATCTGAAATGTTTGGGACCAGAAAGGTTCTGTAATTCAGGTTTTGGAATATTTTCATATGCATAATGAGATATCTTAGAAACAAGATACAAAATTAATTTGTTTCATATATACCTTATATGCATAGCTTGAAGTTAATTTTATGCATAATATTTGTAATACGTTTGTGTATAAAACGTGCATTAAACCACCAGAAAGTAAGGGTCTCACTATCTCAGCCACCCAAGGGGAAAGTTTTGATTTCAGAGTATTCCAGATAAGGGATACTCAGCCTATATACACAAACACATGGATATAGGAGAAATATTGGGAGTCATAGATCACGGGTCCAGCACCAGCCATTAATGGGAATATGGCCACCAGTGGAGTACTGGTAAATGCTGACATGCAGGAGCTCATAGTGATAATGGGCTCTATAGCTGAGAGAGCCAAGAAATGTTGAAAGCTGTATTAAGCCATATCAGCAAACCAGGTCCAGTAGTCTTCATCTTGACTATTCATGGCAAAGCCATTCTAGATTTATTTCCTGGACCACAGGAATAGGTCACCAAATACACTGTTTTGGTAAAAAAAATAAAAATCTCCACCCTACCTATACCCAACTCTTGTTAAAATTTTAATTAAGTTCAGAGGAACAGGGGATTGATGACAGATGTCATTCCTGAAAGTCAAAAAGTGATGGTGCTTTGCCCCTGTGTATCCTGTCTCCACTATACCACTGGTAGCCATCAACAGAGCAGTGGGAGCAATAGATGCTAAGACAATAGAATAGATCATCATAGAAGTGTGGCACGTCCAAATGGGTACTATACTACAATCTACCTTCTAGGTGGCAGTTTGCCCCACTTCCACTAGTGAGTAAGACAGGGTTATGTCTCTCTCACACATGTATCCAGTTCCATCTCTGTGGATGTAAATCTCAAAGCTCCCTCTGCTGAGAGAAGGCAGGGGAGACATAGTGTAAATCAATAAAGGACAACAAGGCTTACTCCTTCTGTTAATGTTTACTTATCATTGGATTTGTTTGAGAAGCAGTGCTGGCCAATACACTTTTGTTTCATGAGGCAAGTGACCAGATGTACAGTAGTTTTTATTTCAAAGCTGATCATAGTGGTAATTGAATTTTAATTCAAAGCTGTCAGCAGCACAATGCCCACTACTACATCTGGCAGAGGCACACCAACCTAGGTGTAGCATAGTTCTCAGCACCTCACTGCTACAGCCCGCCCCTAAGTTGCTTTGGGGAAATGTGCCTCCTGGTAGAGCTAGCTCTGGTAAGAAGAAATAAAACAGATGGGGGCCCTGACTACTAAAACTGCAGAAAAGATTGTCCAGTTAGAGGCAGGAGGAAAACTGGTTTCTCTATGGAGGTGCCAAGGCCTAGTGAGGCCACAATATCATGTCCAAGGGATGCTTTCATTTGACAGCAATCTTTGGAGCTGTGTGTGACTTTAATCATTCTGTAGAGAGAAGATGGGAGCCAGGTCATCTGATTTCACTGGGAAGCAAGTGGTTTCAGGTTATATAACATGGTAGAGAAGTCAGCCAGGGGGACTGATTGTTAACACACTGTTATTTCTCTGCACTATTGTCAAGGTATGATCATCGCTGAGGCCTTAGAACAATAATTTCTCTTCCCTTAATTTCCCAAAATAGATACTGGCTACCCATAAAAAACTGTTACAATAAAAATGTTATTATAGAAAAGACATTTTTCTTGTAATAGTTATAGGCATAGCTAACCAAGGGCCCTTCCACACAGCTATATAACCTAGAATATCAAGGCAGAAAATCCCACAATATCTGCTTTGAACAGGATTATCTGAATCCACACTGCCATATATTCCAGTTCAAAGCAGAAAATGTGGGATTTTATTCAAACTGTGTGGAAGGGGCCCAAGGTAATGTGGAATTCCCAGCAATCAGCTCTCGTTGGAAGATATATATTCCATCTTGTAAATGTGACCTGCCTGTGTAACACAGACAGATCACAGTAGGCCAATGAAAGTATAGTACATATTCCCCCTGGTGTCAAAAAGGGCAGGAAGATGGCGAGTGAGTTGTGTTCCTGAATGAGGAATGTACAAGGCATCTCCTCTGTACTGTCCTGTGTGCCTGTTATGAAATAATACAGCAACCTGTAATTTTATGAATGTCAAAATGTAAGTAGTCAGTGGAAGCGTGGAACACACCCCACCACTACTCTAGTATTCTTTTGGCCAAATGCCCCAATCAGTATGACCTCTGTCTAAACCGCTGGTGTGAGGACCGCTGTTCTCTCACCAGCATAAAAGCAGAAAAGGGCCCCCACACTAGAAGCCACTCAGCTTCCAATCTTTCATGTCCCTCCTTGCCTCCTGCCACAGCTGAAACAGAAAAAAACTGGATTCACAGATTGATCTGAAAACATAGAGATTTATGAAAATTAAAACACATTTTAATTTTCAAAAAACGACGGTCGTATACAAAGTGCTGGCAACATTTCTTTCTGCCTCTTGTCACTTTCTGCCCTGTTCATACTTTTATTCATCTTTAGCAATCAGAATCTTAGATAAAGATGGCTCTGGATCCAGACCCCCGCCCTCCCCGGCCACTTCATTAATCATTGATAATACACCTGGATCCCTGAGCACTCATTTGTCTGCATCACTGACAGCAGCTTGGAAGAGAAGTCTCTCTGGCTCCTGGCCTGGTGAGCAGGCCCTCTGACGTAAAGCAGCACTTGCTGAGGACTGTGCAGTTCAGACCTCAAGTTTCCTCTCTATGGCCATATTTCAATGAGGTGGATCTCTGTGAAAGTCATCTGAACCTCCAGGTATAATGCTACTTGTAGTCGCAAATATGAAGGACGGGGTGGCAGCTGCCTTTTGGCCTTCAACCCTGATCTAGCAGGAGCTGCTGCTGCTGCTGCATCTGTCTCTATAGGGCTGCTCAGTATTATCCCCCTATTGTTTGGCTATGATTCAGAGGTGGCTTCTGATTCGTCCTCATCACTCTCATCGTCCATATCACTGCTGCGTGTGCTCTCGCTGCCTTCAGACGAGGCACCCTTCTTCTTCCTTTTCTTCTTGGGTTTCTGTGACGCACTGCTCGTTGCCTTGCCTACTTGTGTCTTACTAGCCTTTTGACTTTTCTCGTCACCTTCAGGTTTCTCCTCACCTTCAGGTATCTCCTCGCCTTCAGGTACCTCCTCGCCTTCAGGTACCTCCTCGTCTTCAGGTATCCCCTCGTTTTCAGGCATTTCTTTGCTTTCAGCCATCTCAGAGATGGTACCTTCCTCCTCATTGCCTTCTTGTGCCTCTGTGGCAGCTTTTGCACTGCCTGATTTTTGGGAGATAATACTGCCCTTTTCCTCAGACATCTCCTCAGCATTGCTTCCTTGGTCTGAAGGGGGTGCTTCGCTGCCTTGTTGCAACCACATATCACAGTAGACTCCACCCTTCTTCATCAGCTCGTCATGCCTGTAGAATACAGAGGCAGGTTTTTTAGAAGCACCCACAGAAGACACACCCTTCAGCCTCTGGGTGAGACAAGAAGAAACCTTCACAAATCTCCACTTCTGCCCAAGTGCATATGGACATCCTGTTTTTATTCTGTCTTATCAACAAGGCTGTAGATGGGGAAGGGCCAAAATGAAGGTGCTGCCTCCTCAAATAAGAACTCTGCACTCCCAAATGACACCTCTATTCACTCCCTGAATTGTTAGCATTGCAGTAATTTAAAACTTCAGCCAAGCATTTAAAAATACATGCTTCAAAGAAAGGGGGGAAACAAAGTTATGAAGATAATTCAAACACAGGAAATACAAGAAGTTGTGTGTGAGAGCAGTGTTCAGTCATGCAATCACTCTCTGCAATACTAAACATTGGAGGGCAAAGGGAAATGTCACAAGAGGCAGAATTCCTGTTGTGAGGCAATGCTCTCATTTTGCTGCCCCCCCCCCAAAATCAGGAAGAACCCTGCTAACCAACTCTAACTGCCATAAAGACCTTGCCAGAGCTTGTCATTTAGGAGAAGAATCACACTAACATGAACAGAAGATGAAGGGTAATTCAGAAAATGTATATGAAGCAGCACAGTTACTCATCCCATTGGGCCACTTTTTGAAGATGAGGAGAGAGAGAGAGAATGCTTGAAAATGGAAGGCACAGTATGGCCGTGCTTTCTATTTTGTTATATGAATAGGACTGGTGGGTGTTGAGAACCTGAAAGAAGTCTCAAGCTCAGTCTAGTTTAGGAGGAAAAGAGCTCTGCTGCCATTTGACAGGAGAAGTGAAAAACCACAGATTACACAGCCCAAACAAAAAACTTTGTTTTAACTAATCATAGCTGAATCTATGCAACAAGAATGCTGCTTTTTCTCTTTCTATCTCTTTTGTTAATCAAACAGTATGTTTCTAGCCCTCTTCAGTTACAAAAACTTGCTTCAAAATGTATAGGTTGAAGTTTGTTTCACCCTCGTCTTGGCATTAGGATGGTGCGAGTGACCCCATCCTTATGCTGGGAGGATGGCTCGAGGTAGGCATGAGGTGGTTGAGAACCCTCCAGAGCACACTCAGCTTTCATCTGTCTCACCCTCCTCCCAGCATAAAGCCAAGGAGGTTCAGGGGAGGATGATGGGAAAGAGGATCGAGGCAGTTGCCATGTGTCCTGCCTTCCTCCCAGCATAAGGATGAGATGAGCAACCCTGTCCTTATGCTGGTCAGCAACCTGGGGATGACCCGGGCCCTGCCCTGCCCCCTCCTGGCCCTGTCCTTTCCCAAGTCCCCCCCACCATCCAGTGTGTATCCGGCCACCCACCCTCCTGGCCCAGCCCAGCCCAGCCCAGCCCTCCTACCCAGGCCCACAATGCGGCCCCTAGGCAAAAAGGTTTGCCCATGTCTAGCCTAGGTCATAAGCCAGCAGCTTACCTTCCTCGCTCTATCACTCGGCCTTCCCGGAGGACTAGAATTTGATCAGCCTTCACCACAGTAGATAGTCTGCAAAGAAAGCACAATTGATAAGCATGCCAGCAAGAATCCATACAATAATGACTGTTCCTTCCAGCCCTAGATCTCTGTAATAGGCCACATTGAGCTCCTCAGAGTACATAGACTGTGGCCGTATCAGCTCAAGCAAATTCAGCCAAACAGAAACAGCCGCAGCAGAGGCAGGCAAAATGGATCACCTTCCTTTCCAAAATATTTTCCGTAAAAAAAAAAAAAAGGGGGGGGGGGGCTGTGTACAGTTCTCCTTTAAAACAAGGTGCAAGGATCTCCACTTGCTGTTTGAGCAAAATAAAATTTTAAAAAAATAATTCAAAAAAAGGAAATGGCCTGTTGATTTTATTTGAAAGGGCTAGAGTAGCTTCTGGGACAAAAAGCCAGAAAAAATGGCCCAAGAATTCCGACACTTGCCCTGAGTTACAGACATGCACTAAAAGGCAACCTTAGGTAGACTGAATCATGGCCCTGTGATGATATGTGTGTAATGGGTTGAGAGCCAGGCCGGTAGAAAAGTTATCACAAGCCCTCTCTAGAGATCCATTTGACTCTGCCAATTCCTACTATGCTAATTCAGCAAGGTGGCATTCAGACTCCTTCTTTGACTTTGCATAGCAAAAAGAGCTCCCTGTAATGATCTGTCTTTTTCTGTTTATGGACAATATCTTGGAAGAAGGGAGCGGGTAAAATTGCGCTTTTTGTTCCTTCCTCCTGGTTCTTGCTGAAAGTTTGAAGTGAATAAAAGGTTAAGGGAGAGAAAGATACTCCAATGGCAGTACCAGCCAAAATGAATCCAGAAATGGCTTCCCGTCCATTTCTAAAACATTCTTCACTCACACGCATACACACTGATTTTTTATGCCATTTATAATCCACTTATAAATTGGCACAGCGGGTTAAACTGCTGAACGGCTGAACTTGCTCACCAAAAGGTTGGCAATTCAAATTCGGGGAGTGGGGTGAGCTCCGCTGTTATCCCCAGCTTCTGCCAACCTAGCAGTTTGAAAACATGCAAATGTGAGTAGATCAATAGATCCGCGGGAAGGTAACGGCGCTCCATGCAGTCATGCTGGCCAAATGACCCTGGAGGCATCTACAGGCAACACTGGCTCTTCAGCTTAGAAATGGAGATGAGCACACAACCCAGAATTGGACATGACTAGACTTAATGTCAGGGGAAACCCTTTTTATAACCCTCTTTTCTACCCAAAAAGGCCCTTAAGGCAACTGCGACCTATCTGGTTGGAGTATCTTCAGTTCTGGCAGAATAAAAATTCTGGATCTAAATTCAACACGTTCTGAAGCCCGACTGCACACCCATGACTACCAGTTGCCAGACAGGGTACAGTGGTAGAGGACAAGAGCCTTCAGGATATGCTTGTGGGCTTCTTAGAGGCACCTTTTGAGCCACAATTGGAAACAAGACAGACCCAAGAAGGTATTTTTTATCAGATGTGCTGGACTTGTGAAAAAGCTAAAAAGGATTGGAAGCTGATGCAGACATCCATGCAAGGTATCTTTAAAATCAGAATTCAGCTGAAACCAGAATGATTTTATTGGGATTTCCAAAGAAGCAAACTGGTGATCTACAAGGTATTCCATGACATGACTTTAGCAGCCACAGTGTTGTATCCTCAAAAAGGAAAAATCCTGCTCTCCCATCAAAAGAAGAATGGGTTTTAAAGAATGGGTTTTGAAATGGCACAGATGAACAAAGTGTGTACGACTAGAGATAAATATTTTGAGATTAAAAAAAGATTGGGAACACTGTTTGTTCCTATACACAGAAGAAAGGAAAAAGCACAATACACGTTGAAGACTGAGCTTTATTCCATTTTTAAGCAGAAGTTTAAATTATAGTTAGGCAGCAATGAAAGGTTATAGATATGTTTGGCTGGTGGGTGGCAAGTCAATTTTTAATCAGTTGGGGTGCAGAATAGACTGAAGGAAGGGGTACAGTAGTGATGGTCTTTTTTGTTTGGGTATTTGTTCTCTTATAGTGTCATCACGGTTGTATCTGTCTTATTAAAATGTAATAAACAATTTGGAAGGGGGGGACAAAACAGATCCTTCGTCTTTTCCAGTAGCTTCTTATGTTGTAATGTGTTTTTGATTCGTACATAAGCAATTCACATTTAAATCTGAGGAGTGCAAGGACCCAGTTAATGGTCCCTGTCTCACATAATTTGAGGACTTGCCTCTACCTATTGAAAGAGTGTGTATTGTCAGTAATGAACTGGATGAGGGTGAACAAACTGAAGCTTAATATAGACAAAACAGAGCCACACCTGTCTGGTGGATCAGGGTACAGGGATTTAACATGTGCTGGATAATAATATTTATTTATTTATTTATTTATTTATTTATTTATTTATTTATTTATATACAGCTCTATCTCCCCAGAGGGACTCAGGGCAGTTTCCAAGGAACAACATCAAAACATACGGAATCACAACATGAACAAAAAATAACAGTAACAGCAACATAAGCATGGAATTACCCAACAACACATAAATATTAAAAGAAAAAAATCCTGCCTGCTCTTCATGTCTATTTGTTAGGGCAAATAGTCTCCCTGAAATCTCAAGCTTGCTGCTTAGGTGGATTCCTGGCCTCAATCCTGAGTTGGGATGTAAAGGTTTCAGTGCAAACCACAAACATATCTGCACACAAATAAAATTAATGTGCTGGCTGCATCCACAACTGGAGATGTCTGACATATGCCTTGATTACCCTCCCCCCCCCCTTCTATATGCAAACTATGTGTGGGATGCCCTTGGAAGTGCTTGGAAATTTCAGACAGTTCAGGATGATGTAGCCAGTACATATAATTCACATTTTATAACAGCTTTGCTAGCTAACAATCCAGTCTGTTTAGTTCAATAAATATGTGGACGAACTTACAGTTCATGACATTTCCTCTTAATAGCTAACCAATGTAACTGAAGTGTGGTCTAAATCTGAACTAGGCTAGTTGGGAACACTGCAGCACTCCTGACATTATACTGAAGCTCAATACGCAAAGCTCCAATGGCAGGATGTTTCTCCTTCCTTACCTGTGAGCCACAATGATGGTGGTCCGGTTTGCACACACTTTAGCCAGGGATGCTTGGATAATTCTCTCAGTTTTTGTGTCCAATGCTGATGTCGCCTGTAAGATCCGGGGACAGTTGCAAATGGTGGCATGAGGATGGGTGGGAAAGGGATTCATAGAATCATAGAATCAAAGAGTTGGAAGAGACCTCATGGGCCATCCAGTCCAACCCCCTGCCAAGAAGCAGGAATATTGCATTCAAATCACCCCTGACAAATGGCCATCCAGCCTCTGCTTAAAAGCTTCCAAAGAAGGAGCTTCCACCACACTCCGGGGCAGAGAGTTCCACTGCTGAACGGCTCTCACAGTCAGGAAATTCTTCCTAATGTTCAGATGGAATCTCCTCTCATGTAGTTTGAAGCCATTGTTCCACGTCCTAGTCTCCAAGGAAGCAGAAAACAAGCTTGCTCCCTCCTCCCTGTGGCTTCCTCTCACATATTTATACATGGCTATCATATCTCCTCTCAGCCTTCTCTTCTTCAGGCTAAACATGCCCAGATTCAGAATCTTGTGGGATACACTGCAAGACCCTTCTATTTGAAACCACACCTAATAATGAATCCTATATTTTGACTATAGAATCTCGCTTATCTGACATAAGCGGGCCACCAGAATGTTGGATATGTCAGATAATATGGAGGGATTAAGGAAAAGTCTATTAAACCCAAGTCTATTAAACCCAAGCAAAGGCAGGAGGGAGCAGTCGCTCTTGACATAGCTCCCAGGCTCCTCCCGCACACGCCCCCCTTCCTTGCCTCCCGCCTTCAGTACTTTCTTTCTTTCTTTCCCTCCCTCTTCCATGAAGCAAACATTTCCACTGCTGGCAACAGAGGGGGGATGGGCTGGGGCTGCAGGGAGGGGGGCGAGGCGAGGATGGGTGCCAAGGTCAAGAGAGCCACAGAAAAGTCAGTGGAGCAGCCAGGGCAGCGGGCAACCTCAGCCAGGCTCCTCCTTTACCTGCGCAGAGGCCGCTTCTCCGAAGCCTAGCCTGGGCTGAATGCGAGACCTCAGAGAGGGGAAAGACAGCAAGGAGGGAAGCGGAGTCTGGAGCAGGAGCCAGAGAAGGAAGAGCGGAAGGAAAGAAGGGGAGCCTCGTTGCAATTCTCTGAGGAAGAGGAGGAGCCTTGTTTTTATTCTTCTAAGCCAGAAGCAGTCAAGGCACATTGGATAATACAGAATGTTGGATAAGTGAAGGTTGGATAAGTGAGACTCTACTGTAGTTGGGTTGGAAGCATACTATAGAAAAGTACTGGAGAACACAGAGAGGTCCACAAATGCTTTGGGTGGATATTTTTTGGGGAGTGGGTAAGTGAAACCATGGATATAAAGTCTGTGAAAATTTACTCGCACAGCTTGAGCATCCCTTAGTTCAAATTCTGAAATAAAGAAATACTCCAAAATCCCCCATGTGGGTGACTGAAATAAAAACACTTTTGCTTTCTGATGGTTCAATGTGCACAAACTTAGTTTCATGCATGATTAAAAATACTGCATTTAAAATTGTCTTCAGACATGAACAAATCCCATGCTTAGACCTTGGTCCCATGTCCAAGAGATCTCATTTTGTATATGCAAATATTCCAAAATCCCCACCCCAATTCCAAAGCCCAAAATGCTTCTGTTCCCAAGCATTTTGGATAAAGGATTCCCAACATGTACTTCTGCAACCTGTACGCCTTGTTTGGCTACCAAAGGGCTTTTTGGAGAACTTTTCATTAATATATATGAGAACTCTTATCCTTTACCTCATCAAGCAAAATGATCTGAGGGTTCTTCAAGATGGTGCGGGCAATAGCAACTCTCTGCTTCTCCCCACCACTCAGCTTCAGACCTCGTTCACCAACCTGTGTCTCATAACCTGCCAGAAACATGCAGATAATCGGGAAAATAAAATACCAAAGGAAAGGTAATCATCTCGGTGTCAATCTTTCACCAATGCAATGCAGACACAGCATGATAAACCTTTGGCTGCCATCTTGATATGCATCCCAGGCTTTACTGCCTAAGGAGATTTGGTGTCTCCCAGACAAAGCAATTCCAATGTTTTACAGCCCAGCTTCTTAAAAGTAGGGCAAGTGAACTGGGCAGCCTAGCTCCATTTTTTTTAGACAAAGCCTCTGTCAGCTGATCTCGTTTCAGTTTGGAGTGAGGAGCTTGAATGCCACAAAGCCCTTCTTATGTTGATAAGTATGGGTTTTTCTAGTGTTACAACTTAGATAAACAATCCCCTATGACAATTTTCACAGCCACTTGGAAGGCCAGTGCTGGCTTCAATCATTTGGAGGAAGATAGTAAGAGTGGGGAGTCAGGCCCCTCAGGTTCAGATCAGATAGGATCAGGACTTGGATGTCACATTTAGCAAGTGACATTGTTTCCTGTACTTTATGGAGCAAAACACAGGTTTTTTTAAACCAATGTCAACAAACAAGAGCAAAGTTACTTTAATGGTATAGTAAGTAACTAATTCTAGTTAATTGCTAAAGTTAATTTTAAGTTTTCAACTTTAAAATTATTCTCGATCCTCAAGTTTCCCCCCAAAAAACAAACTAGAAAGCGATGGAAAAGTAACCAGCATGGTAATAGTTAAGTTTTTTTCATCATTTTGATAAGTAACAGGAATAGCTTACTTTGTTAAATATTATAATGAGTAATAGAAAACAGTACTTTTGAAAAGTACCTTTCCAAAATCACTCAGTAGAAAGGAGCTACCTTTTACTGAGTGAGACCATTGCCCTGTTGGCTGATTCAGGACTCTTTATCCAGTGGTTCTCAACCTGCGGGTCCCCAGATGTTTTGGCTTTCAACTCCCAGATATCCCAACAGCTGGTAAACTGGTTGGGATTTCTGAGAGTTGTAGGCCAAAACTCCTGGGGACTCACAGGTTGAGAACCACTGCTTTATATGAATCAATATCAGCTTTGTAGAATCTCAAGGAGGAATATTTAATAAAACTGCAGACACTGGTGACTGAACCCCATGGCTTTTGGGTGCAAAGTCATATCACTTCCAAGTTACAACAGGAAAGGTGCACTTTTCAATATAATCAGCTAGGGGCTAATAGTTGAAAACCCTTTACAGCACAGCAGTGTATAAGCCAGAAGCAGCTGACAGAGCTTACCATCGGGAAAAGTGAGGATGCGCTCGTGGATATTAGCAGTAATTGCAGCCTCCACCACCTCTGCATCAGTGGCGTCGATACGGCCATATCGGATGTTGTTGCGAATGGTGTCATTGAAGAGAACAGTATCCTGGGGCACCACACCGATGCGGGAGCGCAATGAGACCTGTTTTGCCTGTGGGCATTGGAGTGGTAAGAAAAACACACACCATTCATGTTAGAAATTGGAAAAGGGACAGCATCTTGAAACAGCATCATAGTTTGCTTGAAAAAAAATCATTCAAAATGAGATTTGTCGGAGGGAGCTTCTAGGAAAGAAGTGGGGGAAATTACTTTTTGGACCCCAGGTTCCAGAATCCTCCAGACAATACATTCAGGGGATTCTAGTGGTTGTAATTTTTTTTAAAAAAACTTGTTGTCTAAGATTTAGCTGGAGAGGTGCTACCACTGCAGAAGATCCACCCTCAGACAGTATGAAAAGGCCTATTTGCTCACTCTTAGGGTATGCTGGGAAGGAGAGAAAGGCTGGTGATACATTGATGCTATCTTAATCCAGGGTGCTGTAGGTACTTTGAAGGAGGACCTGTTGCTTATGGTGAGCACACTCGCTCTACTGTCGTCTAGGGTAAATAGCTTTATGAGTGGTGGGGAGCATTACTTGAAAAACTTAGGAAAATCTAGGTGGCTGTGGGTGTGATTAGTCTGACCTGGAACACACACACACACACACACACACACACACACACACACACACACACACACACACACACAAAGCTGACCTGAAGTACTAAAGAAAAGTGTATGCATGCCTAATGGGAAGAAGGATGTCATTCAAACAACTTTCAGAAAAGACCTATCAGATCCTGGCCCACTTAACCTGTCATGTCTATCTGTAGCTTCTTGCACATTCTGCTCTAGTGACCAGCCCTACGGGACTTTATAACAGATAAAACTACTGGGCAGGGACAAGGAGCCACACATATTCAAAGATCAGGGGGGAAACATCTGGACTGGAATGAAAGGAGCAGTTGCTCTTCAATTCTCCCCCACCTCCTGCACCCAAACCCCCTGTAATGCTGGCATCCAGATGGGGCTTTTAGGAATCTTCCACCAGATATCCTACAGTCTCTTTGCGGGGAGCCTGGGTGGCTGGTGGGAGTGAGGATGGAGGCAGCTGTGCCTGCCACAGAGCAAGCCTTTCATCTCTCTAAATGGAATCACACATCTCTGCTTTCCTGGGGGCAATGAATATGAATTTGGGATTAAGCAGCTGGGCGGTGGCAGCAAATGTCCAAAGAAACAAGAGGAAAAATGTGCATGCATGTGCAAAAGAGAGAGGGAAGGAGACCCCAGAAACATGCACATTAGATTCTGTCAAAGATAGCTGGAGCACAGCCATAGGATCATCCTGTACAGTCATATGTTCTCTGGACCAAATAATTAGGAAATCACTCTAGCAATTTAATGGATACTTCCAGACCAATGGTTCCCAACCTGTGGCCTGTGGACCACCAGTGGTCCCCAAGAATTAAAATATGGTCCATAGCCATATTTCAACTCTTGGGTACACAAAAAACGCGACAACAAGCCTCCTGGCTGCTGATTCTCCTCCTTCTCCCTTCCCCTGAGCTCCTTTGGTGTCTTTGTTTTTAGGCCCGTTCCTGGGGTTATTTGGGGTGCTGATTCAGAAAATTGCATTGGATAGACCACATCCAGCTCTAGGTTATTAAATATGTTTTTCTGTGGGCGAGCAAATGGCAACTACTGGATGGCATATGTTCTGTATCAGAAACTAGAGCTGATGTGGTCTATCCAATGCAATTTTCTGAATCAGCACCCCAAATAACCAAACCAACTGATTCATAACCCTTTTATTACTGATGTTGGTCTCTAGTCAAAGTGGTCCCTGGTTTAAAAAAAGGTTGGAAACCATTGTTCCAGACAGATGGCTCTTAACCTCATCAATCAAAACTCCAGCTGAAGAATTAGACAACATTTTTTTTCTTTTTAAGAAAAGAGTCCTTCCACCCATGGAAATGAAAAACAATGTAAGAAGCATGGAACACACACATGACATTTACAAATGAAAGACCTCCTGTTTTTGTTTTTTTTTAAAAAAAACACACAACAGGAGGGTAATTATGTAGGAAAAGTTTTCTCTTGGAACACTTTAAGTCTATATCACATGCTATCATTGAGAGATGGGTTGGGGGGAAGGGAGATTGGTTACCATTGCAATTTTCATATATGCTGAAAAGAGTGATCTTCTCTAATGGGGGGGGGGGGTTTACTCTGAATGAGTAAACATACATAGGATTGTATCGTAAATCTGGATTTGAAGGTTGCTCGGTACTATTTTGTCCTTGGGAAGCAATTCAACTAGTGAATCTCTCACCCATGCCAAAAACTGTTTTTTAGGGTGAGTAAGTCTGGCCTTAACACACACACAGCAGTTGTTGGTTCATACTTTGTTGCTTTTACAAGATTCAAAACCAGTACCCAACAGTATTTTCTGGGGGGACGATTTGGGCTTTTTCCCGCTCCTACCTGGGAGATATTCTGACCATCAATTCGGATGCAGCCTCCCCAGACATCATAGAGGCGGAAAAGTAGGCGAACGATAGTGGTTTTTCCTGAGCCAGAGGGTCCCACCTGGGAAGAGAGAGGAGAGAAGACATGGGGTCAGGCTAGATACCGCCAGTGGTGAGGGACAAGAAGAAGTCTCAGCTTAGCTTCAGCTGGGGCCCTTTGGTGGGTCCAGCTTCTACTTTTGCAGCACAGGAAGCAAAAGAGTGTGAGAGATATTAGGAAATATAATTGTCCCTCCACATTTGTGTTTCTGACTTTTGTGTATCTCTTACTGTAATTTTAAAGAGCCAGTATATAGAATAAGTTTTAATGTTTATATTGGAAAGTGCTTATTGTACTTTTAAAGGTTGTGTATTATTTGATGTCATGGCCTATGGCTGTTACAACAAACAATACATTCATTGATACTGGACTTTTGTGGATTTGATTATTCATTATTTGAATTAAAATGTTATCTCTAGAAATCTCTAGCTCTATTATTTATTTATTTGCTGCATTTATATCCCACCCTTCTCACCCCAAAGGGGACTCAGCGCAGCTCACAACAAAGGCACAATTCAATGCCTTGAACACATATAAAAGGGGACTCAAGGAGGTTAACAATCACACACTTTGACCAATTTAAAACAAAGCAAATACATTAAAAAAAATGAACAGTACTGTGTGTTAAAAATACAGTTAAAATACAATAATTACAATTAAAATGCACTTTAAAACACCCTATCCCCGACAAAAATTCCCACAACCTCCCTAGCAATGGCCCCTTATCCTTCTCTTTGAAGGCCAGCAGGGATGGGGCCATCCTGATCTCTCTTGGAAGGGAGTTCCACAGTCTGGGAGCAATCCCCAAAAAGCCCCTCTCCAAATGTGCCTGAGTGGGTGGTGGGACAGAGAGAAGGTCCTCCCCAGTCAATCACAAATGTCTACTAGGTTAATAGAAAGAGATACGGTCCTTCAGATAACATGGACCAGAGCCATATAGGGTTTTGTAGTTCAAAACCAGCACTTTGAATTGTGTCAAGAAACGTGTTGCAGCCAGTGGAGCTGTTGCAACAGAGGAGTTGTCCACTCCCTCTAGGCACCCCCAGTTATCAGTCTGGCTGCTGCTCTTTGGACCAACTGAAGTTTCTACGCACTTTTCAAAGGCAGCCCAATGTAGAGTGCATTACAGTAACCCAACTGGGATGTAATCCAGGCATGTATTCCAGATCTGACTTCTCCAGGAACAGGTGCAGTTGGCGCACTAGCTTTAACTGTGAAAAAGTACTCCTGGTCACGGTGAACCTGTGTTTTCAGGGGGAGTGCAACCCCATCTAACACAGCCTGAATCCCTAATGCCAGATCTGTCTTACGACTGACCAGGAGCACCTCTGTCTTGTCTGGATTAAGCTTAAATTTGTTTGCCCTCATTTAATTCATTACAGCCATCAGGCACTAGTTTAGCACAGGAACTGCTTCCTTGGAATTAGATAAGAGTTGGGTGTCATCTGCGTATAGATGGCACAGCACTCCAAAACTCTGGATGACCTTTCCCAGCTGTTTCATGTATATGTTGAACAGCACGGGGGACACCAGAGAGCCCTGAGAGACCCCACAGGCTAGTGGCCAATCAGTCGAACAGGAGTCCCCCAGCACCACCTTTTGAGAACGTCCCTCCAGGAAGGAATGGAGCCACTGCAGGATAGTCCCTCCGAGCCCCATCCCAGCAGGATACCATGATCAATGATATCAAAAGCTGCTGAAAGGCGCAGGAGAACCAATAGGGGCACACTCCTCTGTCCAGTTCTCTGTGTAGGTCATCCACTAAGGCGACTAAAGCTGTCTCGATCCCATAACTAGGCCTGAAACCAGACTGAAATGGATCTAGATTAGTGGTTCTCAACCTGTGAGTCCCCAGATGTTTTGGCCTTCAACTCCCATAAATTCTAACAGCTGATAAACTGGCTGGGATTTCTGGGAGTTGTAGGCCAAAACACCTGAGGACCCACAGGTTGAGAACCACTGATCTAGATAATCTGCTTTTTTAAAAAAAAACTTAGTTGTAATAATAATTTTGTAAAATAATTCCGCATACCCAATGACTCCATTCCTCTTTGTTTTCTCCTTGCAACATATTAAACATCTGTAAAGATGCAACTAACCAATAACAAATCTATTATCCCGATTTTCTTTTTTCTTCCCTTCCCCCCACCACTCCCCACTTTCCTAGTAAATGTTTAATAAAATTATTTGGAAAAAAAGATAATCTGCTTCATCCAGGAACCCTTGGAGTTGAGAAGTATCTTATGTGACTCTATGGTCAACCTCCTCCAGTCATGTTGGAGAACCTAGAAATTTCTAAAGAGAATACATTTCTAAGAATGTCTAGGTCTTCCTATGCAATTGTATGGTCAGCGTCCTGTGGAAGATGACCATAGAGTTGTGATGGAACATCTAGAAATTCCTAGAAAGGTGTTCTGAGGTAAAAAAAACAAAAAAAAAACCCCAGCAATTTCTTTATTCATAGTTTTTCACTTCCATGGAGATCCTGTGTCTCTAGCTCCTGTGTATATGGAGGACTGACTGTGTAATTGAGTACAACAAAGCTGTTTGTTTCTCTTCTCCTCTCCTTACCAATGCTACAGTCTGCCCAGGTAGCACTGTGAATGAAACATCATTCAGGACTTCCTTCCTGTGAAGAGATTTTACAAAAGGGAAGAGTCAAGTTTCAAACCTTTTGCTATTTAGCAAAACCTCCTGCATTTCCTGCACCTGCTACAGCTCACTTCCAAATGCCATAACCTCACTCTCATACATTCAGACACACAGAGATGCACAAAACTGCACACTTCTTTGGCCCATTTCACACCTGTCCTGCCTCCAGCCTACTTTCCCTCTCCCCTGGTGCAAACTGAATATATGGATGATAATAATAAGTAAGGGTGCTCTGTGGAAGATCTTTAAAAAGAAATCAAGTATTTATAAAGTGGAGGAGTGTCTTATGGGCATATTGTCATTTATGGATCCTGAAATTTTATTTGCTCTTAATCAGAGTGGAACTGAGAAATGCAAACTTAGATAAATAATTTTTCTGGGTTGCAACTCCTCAATTTCTGGAAACTGTAATACTAAAAAAGTCACATTTCTAAGCTCTGTAAAAATATTTCTGTTTAGCAATCTTTCTCACACTAGTCAAAATCCCACTGGAGCATTTTACCATGGTGGCACATGCTTCACATCTTTGGCGTCATACTCACCCCACCCACCCCCCCAGCAGTCATACCTTTGGTAAAGTCCCTCAGCACCTGCTCTCCATCCTACGTATCAACTTCTTCCACTGCTTTCCCAGACCCACATTTCCAGACTCATAATATACATCTCCGTCCACCTTACCCTTCCACGTAGCCAAAATGAACATTTTCAAACTCCACACGTCCTGCCACGAACCGAAGATCCCTGGCACCTGGTTCATCCTTCACCTGGAAATATTTGTGATATTGTATGGCAGCCAGGGACAATTTGATCAAAGCATTGGTACTTATGCAAGAAAAGGACGACTGTGGCTAGAAAAGTGACTTTGAGAAACTTTAGTCTCAGAATTATCAGAATTATCTCCCCCTAGACTGGACTGATAGCTGAGTCTTATTGTGACAATGACTCAGTATCCGAGGGCAGCAGCTATGAGATGCAAAGCAGTCTCATTCGATTCTCAAGCTAGCTGATGTTTTGGACCAAGCACCGCTCCGCGCCCCCCCCCCCCCCCATTTTTCAGGGTCTGGTACCCTATTATTAGTGTATTCACACAGTTACCTGGAAACTCAACAGGGACTAGAAGCTGATGTCTAGCTTGCTAGCACCAGCCCATGGTTCACCACTTTGACTAGCACTGTAATCTTCGCAATGAAGCAGCTGCCTCAAATTGCCCTATAAAAGGGCTGGCCCTGTTCTAGAATCACACTTCAGGAATGTTCTGAAGCAAGTCATAATGGCATATTCCACCGTTCTTTTTAATTTAGTAGTCTTGTAATCAAAGAAATGACTAAAAAATGGAGGATGCACCTTGGCTATCACGTATACAATCCTCTAATCCAGAGTTTCTAACTGCTGGTAAACTGGCTGGGATTTCTGGGAGCTGAAGTCCAAAACACCTGGAGGAGCACAGTTTGAGAAACACTGCTCTAATCCTTTTAAAGGGATTACTATAATAGTGGGATAGGACAAAAAAGCAACACAGCTGATCCACTGCAGCAGAGGGAGAGTCTCAACATACCTCCTGTTCCTCATCGAAGAGATCAAACATGTTCTCCATGTCAACAAATGAGGACTGGATCATTCTAAAAAGGAGAAACCGAACATTCAATGCATCATTCGCAAGCAAAGAAGGGAGACTGCAGGACTAACTCATTCCCCTTCTGGTAACAAGGAAAAATAAGGGAGCAGGACAGCCCTGGATTCACTTCTCCAAATGCAGTAATCAGTCAGACCTCTGACATAAAAGCAACTCACAATGTGTCACGTTTCCATCACTAGTAAATGTTCCCAATCCATTAACACATGTTCACACACTCAGTTTGTTGCAGCAAACTATGAACAAGCAAAGGAAGGAGAGGTGCAAAGGCAGCCCAAATTCTTAGAAGGAGGGGAAACGTCCCTCCACAGATGCAATACCAAAGGCAAAGTTCAAATTTCCAAGCTTAGATTCCTAGAACTGAGGAAGCCTTAGGGAGTAATCCTAAGAGCAGAGGTCCACAACAAACTGAGCACTTTGATATTAGAGGCTCAAGTTTATCTAAATCCCTGGCAGGATCTTGCTGACAGGAAGAGAGCAAACATTTGGGCTGTTAACACCCTCGAGTACTAAGTGGCCATTAATACTAATTTTTTCCCAGTCTATAATATTTTAACCCCAAACAAGATTCTCATATTTTATAACTGCATTGTGTTTGTTCAAGTCATAACATCAGTCCTTTGAAAAAAACTGCAGCCCTATCCAGCCCAGCATCCTGCTTCCCATAGCGTCCAATCAAATGCCCAACGGGAAAATTCACAAGCAAGACATGATTGCAGCAACATATTTTGCTTGCACTTTCCAAAATTCATCTTCAAGAGACTGACAGAAAAATTTAAGTATTTTGGCTAAAGCCAGAGGTAGCCCCATTCTCCATTAATTAGTCCAATCTCTTTTTGAAGTGTTTCACTCATATTTCATTGGAGTCTTGCATGGTATTTTCCCATTACAGACAATCCCAAATCTAGGAGGGTACAGAAACTGACATTCTGTTGGCCAGTCTGTTGCCAAGTAATGTCACCTTATTTTCCCAATCATTACTTACATAGAAATGGTTCCTCTAATTAAATCCACACCCTCTTATTTCTATCAGCCGAATAAGTGACCAACATACATAACAAAATAATATTAACAGAAGGTTACCTGTAATAGGTACCAAACCAGTTCAGAGGCACATATAGCTGGATGATGTATGTGCCAAAGAGAACATAATCACCCACCTGGAGGAAACAGAGAGGCAGGTTAGAGCCAAAGCAATGATCTTACCTTGCAATAGAGGATAGAAGTACTTTGATTCCTTTTCCTTGTAAGTCTGAGCAAAATGTAAGCTGCTTTACCCCAAAATGAACCATTTCAACAGCCCCCCCATTTCAACAACTCCCACTTGCAACTGAAGAGCTACTACAACCCAAGCCCTGTCTTACCACAATTAGCTACTATCCACCACAAGCAGACTGCAGAAGCTGTAGGCAACTACCCTATATACTCATGAATAAGTCTAGAAATTTCTGCCAAAAATTCAGCCGGAAAAACCTGGGTTGACTTATCCAAGGGACAATGTAACTACAGGCAGTCCCTGGGTTATGAACAAAATAGGTTCTGTAGGTTTGTTCTTAAGATGAATTTTGTATATACCATATATACTCAAGTATAAGCTGAGTTTTTCAGCTCTTTTTTTTAGGTTTATACTTGAGTCAAAGTTATTTATTATTTTACTCTGTTGTTATTATTATTATTACATTTACCATTTTACTCTATTATTACTATTATTATTATTATTATTATTATCATTATCATTATCATCATCATCATCAAATTTATATTTTTTGTTGTTCATTCATTCAGTTGTTTCCTACTCTTCGTGACCTCATGACCAGCCCACGCGAGAGTTCCCTGACGGTCGTCACCACCCTCAGCTCCTTCAAGGTCAATCCAGTCACTTCAAGGATACCATCCCTCCATCTTGCCCTTGGTTGGCCCCTCTTCCTTTTTCCTTCAATTTTCCCCAGCATCATTTTCTTCTCTAATCTTTCCTTTCTTCTCATGATGTGGCCAAAGTACTTCATCTTTGCCTCTACTATCCTTCCCTCCAATGAGCAGTCAGGCTATTATTATTATTTCATTTATGATTTTCTCTATTTATTATTAGTATTACATTTATTATTTTACTCTGTTTATTATTATTATTGGAAGGCTAGGTAAGCACATTTACATTGAAGAAGGTTAGAATAATAGTTTAATCAGTTAGAAGTCTTATCTTAAGCTACAGTTTTATGTAAATATTCAAAAACATTTAACCTACTGATGCATCAATTAATGTAATTTTATTGGTATCTATTTTTATTTTGAAATTTACCAGTAACTGCTGCATTTCCAACCCTCTCCTTATACTTGAGTCAATATGTTTTCATAGTTTTTTGTGGTAAAATTAGGTGCCTCGGCTTATATTCAGGTCAGCTTATACTCGAGTATATATGGTAATTTGGAAATTATACATTTTTAACTCCAGCCAAATTTTTTTTGGATAGGATAGAGAAGGAATAACACCCCCCGTAACAACTGTTCAGAAGATTTCACTTCACTTTCTGTCCCTGTGACAACTGAATTTTGAAATTTTGGGGTTGTCATGAAAACAAGGATTGGTGATAAAGCTTCAGTGGAGAGGGAGACACCTTTTCCCCATGATAACTCTTTCAGGAGTGAATTCCACTTCCTAGAGATAGAATTTCTCTCACTTCCTGTTGACTCACCCCCCATTTGTAACTAGGCCAGGTGCAAGTTGGAAGTTTGTAACTCAGGTTACTGTATCTAAAGTTGTACAAAAAAGGAATCATCCCTTTCTTTAAGTAAAGTGGTGAAAGGAAATAACTTAGTCCATCCTGGGATAACCTAAAAGAAGCACCTTTCTACTCTCTCTGCTGTTGCACACTTCTGGCTCTTTTAATGCTTGGAGAAGAGGAAGATTAATATGCCTGACTTATATCCTTGCCTAGATACATTAAGCCACGTCTAGAGACTGGAAATGGCTTCAGCCTGCTGGTTGTTTATTTTATTTATTTACTACATTGGTACTCTGCCCTCCTCAACCCCGAGGGGGACTGAAACAGCCTTACACATCGGCAACAATTCAATGCTGTAAAAACTACATACAAGTAGATAACATTTATGTTAAAAACCAAAACATTAAAACATCTAAACAACATATCATGTTTTATAAAGTTTCAGCTATTGTTTTAGTTGTTTTTATATAGTGTTAAATTTATATTTATTGTTATATCCCCATAGGCTATTTAAGTTCGTATTGTCAGCTACTTTGTCTGTTATTAAGTTCAGAGTTAGGTTGCTTTTATATTGTTTAATATGATTGTTTTGATGTAACTTGTTTGAACTTTTTTTCCCCTTTGGCATTGAATGCTTGCCATACATGTTGGAAACCGCCCTGAGTCCCCTTGGGGAGACAGGGTGGTCGACAAATAAAGATGATGATGATGATGATGATGATGATGATGATTATTATTTGGGTGTGGAAATAGCAGCAGTCAGAGGTAGGGTGGCCCTTGGGGTTTTATTGGTGCTTTTCCCCTCTTGATTCCTCTAGAGGTCATATTAAAATCCATAATTTTGACCCCTGCTCTTGGCTTATACATAAAGTAAACATATGCTAGAGTATATACAGTAGATCAAACACATGGTGTGACTCCAATGCTAGTTAACTCCAATCAGAATGCCTGGTCAGGGTTTACGGGATCTATACTCCAAAGAACAAGTGGATGGCCACAATTTCTCCACCCTTCCCAAAGGAAAACAAGCTATCCCAAGATCACTAGTCAAACCAAGGAGACTGAGGATGATGGGAAAAGAGGTGAATTGCTTCCTGGAATCTCATATAATCTGAGAAGACAGACCTAGACCAAGTGAGTAAAACAGAGAAACAAATCTGTCTTACAACAATGTTTATCAGGAATCTGGATTTACTAGTAAACAGTGTGCCTTAATAAAAAAAAATGTTTTCTTTGGAATTCAGCCCTGCTCATTTACATTCAATTTCATTTAATCTAGGGATAAAAGGCCCTCTCTCTACATACACAATGATATCTGTCCTTTTCCAGCAACCTCGGGTTGTTTTTTTGTCTCCTATTGTGTCCTATCATTAGGACTGCACTCCATATGGGAATGTGTGTTTTCACATCTGGAAAATAAACCCCAAAACATGCTGGTCTCTTTCTTCTGATGTTGGTGGAAACTAGCTCCCATTTGGTGTGGTTCCCCCTCCGCCACCACCCTTAGATCTCTTAATTGGTGACAAACCTTTTCCAGCCCGAACTCTTGCTTGCAATTGCTTTTGTTCTCAACGAGAGGTCTAATTCGCCAATCTGTTTTTGTTTTAATCTCTACTCTCAGCTGCCCATTTTCTCAGCATGAGTTGAGTGGTAGCTTTGGTCTCTATTCGGCACTGAATTCAGCAAATACTAATTAGCCTTCACAAAGTCTTTTCAGAAACTGCAAAAGCTCTTAGGGCCCCTCGTTCCTTCCCACTGATTAGTCTGACCATATTCTGCAACTTTTCCAAATGGGACCTGTGTGGTGCAAGTCCGTCCACCTCCCCGTTCTCTAAACATAACAAAATATGAGAAGAACCATGCTGGATCAGACCAGAGAGCAGTGTGGGGGCCAAACTGATGCCTACAGCAAGCCCACAAATAGGACATAGGTGTCAAAGTTCCATCTTGCCTCCCAAACACTGGTACTGAAAGACACAGAGGTGGTTCTGCCATTCCTTCCTCTGAAATATAGCCTCTATTGCCTGATATTTGTTGGCAGCCTCCAATCCAAGTACTAACCAACAATGACCCTGTTTAGGTTCAAGATCATAGAAAAATCATAGAACCATAAAGCTGGAAGAAACCATAAGGGCCATCCAGTCCACCTCCCTGCCATGTAAGAAAATACAATCAAAGCACTCCTGTCAGAGGGCCATCAACCTCGGCTTAAAAAGCTTCAGGGAATGAGATTTCCCCATGCTATTGTTTTGGTGGAATCTCTTTTCCTTCCATTTGAATCCATTGCTCCATTGTGTCCCAGTCTGCAAAGCAGCAGAACACAAGTGTTTTCCCTCCCCAATGTGACAACCTTTCATATATGTAAACATGGCTGTCCTGGCCTCTCTTAACTTTCTCTTCTCCAGGGTAAAGATAACTGAGCAACTTGCAACTCAGACAGGTTCTGGTGCTTTTAGGCTGGGTGTTTTGGAAGTAATGTTTCTGATACTAGAAATTATATATTGCCATCCTGTCTAATAGCCATTAATGCTCCTAATTTCCATTAATTCATGTAGTTAGTAACACCAATTGATGTGGCAACAATGGTTCTTTTGGTTATGTTTTTTTGTAGTCAGATAATTAAACTACTGAAATATCTAACTTAATATAGGGGAGGGACCAGACCTTGGGAAAGTTACTTTTGTGGACTATAACTCCCATTTCTACGCTAATCAGAATGGCTAACAGACATGCTAATAGGGGTGGGGGAATGGGGTTGTCAGTCAAAAAGCATCCAGCCACTGGCAGACTTACATGGAGTCTCCTCTTGGTCACATAGTAAGCGCACAGTAGGGATCCCGCTAGCAGACCTAAACCGATCACCACATTCTGTGTCTGGTTCAATAGTGCCAGTGATGCGTTGACTTTCCATTCTGAGCTCTGATAAGAGGAGAAGAAAGTAGATCCCTCAGGCATACCCCAGAAGTGTTCTGCACAGCCAACAGATCTCTTGCCCCTCTAATTTCCACACAGCAGGAACCTCCCATACCCAATGGCAAGACAATTGAGATAAACCATGAAAAGGAAGGACAAAAATAAATACAACATAATACTTGCTATCCACAAGCTCCAGCCCTCCATAGCACCATTTGTAAAATGGCAAGATATAATCTAGGCCTACTTTCCTGAGGACAGAAATATGGTTGATGAGGGAGAAATAGGGGGAAATGAGGGCATAAAGAAGAAACCTGCCCAAGAAAACACAAAGGACATGGAGGATACATCTTCCATTGCCTCAGCTTAATCTTTCTATACCTGATACTTCAAAATGGCATCATTGAAGCGGGAAGCCTCGTAGTTCTCAGCATTGTAATATTTCACCTGCAACAAACCACAGGAGGGATCAGTCAATGTCTGATAGAAACAGCCAGCCACCCAACATCCCTCCATCAACAGAGATCTCCACTCAAACAGAGACCTCAGATTAAGTTCTCTTCTTTTTCCATCTAAACAAAAATGAGGAATTGGAACTATTTTGGGCACTGTGAGGAGTAGGATTGCTCTGCCACCCCCAATGTGTAAGGTTATGAGTACCGTCTCAAAGTTGAGAAGTGAGTCAACAGCACGAGACTTGGCCTCATTGTCACGAATATTCATGTCACGACGGTACTTCGTACGCCACTCGGTCATTATAATGGTCAAAGCTATGAAGAAAGACAGAGGACCCACATTACTACAGCAAGAACACAAGAGGAATACCAGAAATCTTTTCATTTCTTTCTAGTCTCAGACATAACCAGGAGTGTGTCTAAACACCAGAAAGAAGGTAAACTCTGCCAATGTTTGCTTCCTAAGATATTTAGCCTTTGAAGTGAATTATTGAACGTTTCCAGTCTTTATGAAGAGAGCTTAAAAGCATGAAGACCCACTGCTGTATGGATAACTGCATTCAGGTTCAGAGCTAGGAATGTTGAGTTGGAGAGACCAGCATAGCAAAATGAAAAACAGGTCAGGTGTGGTACTTCTACATAAAAATTAAATAGGCTCCCCATAATCCACCTGGAAAGAAATACGTCTATAGGGTGGGCAAAGACATTTTCTCAAAGAGTGGTCTGTACTTGCTCAGAGTGAGGAGACAAGGGGAAAGTTTGGGTGGCTGGGCATGCATCCTCCCTCACTTGCCAAACTGGGTCTGAAAGTTAATGCCTGGATGAACTAATGGATATACAGCATCCATTCTATTACAACTAAAAGATTACTACATGCAAAGCTAAGCAGAATTGAGCTTGGCTAGTACTTGGAATGGAGACAACCAGAGAATAGCAGGGATCCCCATGAAAAACTATGAAAAGAGCCGACCTAAAACCTGGAAAGCCACTGCCAGTTGGAGATGGCAATATTTGGCTTGATGCACCAATTATATGGCACAACTTGTTGGCTGTGACTCCTCTAAGTCACATAGATTTCAATGAGACACAAGTAACTTCACCACAGGTTCAATCTAGACTAAGGCAAGTTAAGTATATTTACGTGGATTGCTTGTTTTGCACAATTTTCCTATGTTTATCATATAAAGGATGTGGATGTATGCAAGTATCTTCCTCTATGAGCCATCATTGAGGTTAAGATCTTCTTGGGAGGCCCTGCTCTCGGTACTGCCTCCATCACAAGTGCGGTTGGTGGGGACGAGAGACAGGGCCTTCTCAGTGGTGGCTCCTCGGCTCTGGAGCTCTCTCCCCAGTAGGATTAGATCAGCACCCCCCCCCCCCCTTTACTGGCCTTCAGAAAGAAAAAGAAAAAGACATGGTTGTGAGACCAGGCTTTTGGCCAGTAATGCAATGCAAAGAATAATCAGGAAATGCGTGCTATGACAATTAGAATGGCCATGGTGTACGATTTTTGGATCATGTGATTTTAATATTTATACTAGGATGTTTTTAATACTTTGTTTTAATGTTTAAATGTTTATGTGTTCAATGGTTTTAATTTATAGTTATATGTCAGTGTTTAATCACTGTGATTTGATTTTATTATATGTATATTGGCATTGAATTCTTGCCATTAATGTGTTGTAAACCACCTTGAGTCCTCTCAGGGGTGAGAAAGGCAGAATATAAATATACTAAATAAATAAGTAAGTCTCAGTTTGGCTGTGAATCCCCTGTTCCACAGGTTCTGAAAGGAGTTGAAAGTGCACAATGGGGTTTTCTTTTGAGGATGGTGGCTAAGTCGTAGTGGGACTCTCTCCCTACCCACCATACCATCTCCCCACCCTCCACCAGCACTCACCAAGGTATAGAGCCATGCAGATGAAGATGATGAGGCCAAACCAGGCACTGAAGGTGGTAGTGAAATACACAATAGCAATGATGATATCAGCCACTGTGGGGAAGATGCTGAAGACGATGTAGCTGCAGGTGGGAGAGTCAGATCACATGACGTCCAAGATCCCACCACCACAAAACCCTTCTCCTCCTTCCACCACTCTCCCCGCAAGTCAATAGGAATCTCTGCAGCAGACTCAGTTTTTTCACTGCAACTCCCCAAATCTGCCAATATTTGGAGAATTCTAGTGCAGAAAAAGCAACCTTTTCCAAGTTCTGCCAAGCGCAATAAAGTTCTCTTTTAACCAAAGAATTCATGTACCTGAGCAGATTATTAATGCTGCTGGTGCCTCTGTCCACACTGCGCAACACCTCGCCTGTCTTGCGTTGCAAATGCCATCGAAGGGAAAGGCAATGGAGATGCCTAAGTAGATGCACCTGGACTTCACGACTTGTGAACTGTTGCACACGGATCCAGAGGAAAGTGCGTGTGTTGCTGATGAAACCAGTGGCACCTAGGGAAAGAAAGTGTGTATATATGTATGTTTAATTTTAATTTTAATTTGTCTGTATGGTTGTTTTTTTTTAGAAAGTGAATGTTTTGCTTTATATGTTGGAAACCGTCCTGAGTCCCCTTAGGGAGATAGGGTGGTTTATTATTATTATTATTATTATTATTATTATTATTATTATTATTATTTTATGTTTGTGTTTTAGAAAGGGATGAAGCTTATCCATCATTATCTTAAATGTGAGTCATAATCCAGAAGGAATAGGCCCACATGGTCCTCCAAATGTTGCTAAGAGATTCAAGCATCCCTCACCGTCGACTAGCTTGATGGAATTTGCAGTCCAATGACTTTTGGAAGGACCCAGATCTCCCACTCATGCTCTTGAGCACTGAATCTACCTGAAAGGACTGAATCTGCTCTGAATATTACAGACTAGCTTTTGAGGGGTCTTCCCAGATGCGAATTGAGAACAGGTTGGATCTCTAGTGACAAATGTGTTCTGTCAAGTAGACTGGGAGACCCCAGGTATTGGTTAATAAATTAAGGAAAAAGAAAATCCCAATGACATATGGATCTAGTTTCAAAGATATTGAGTACGTATTAAATGCTGAGCCACAAAATGCTTAAGATGCCAGTTTGAGGAGGGAAAATGGAGGGAAGAAAATGGCCAGAGTACAGCATTGAATTGCTGAATGCCTAATAGTGGATAGCATCCTGAAGAAATAGGATTAGATTTCACCCATACCCTCCCATGTGAAAGATATTATAAGCTTTTGAGGGCTCTGACACATTTGAAGCCCTGGGAGACTGTGATGGGGTGGGGAGGTGTGAGGGCAGGAGGTTGGGTTTGTTAGTGTTAGAGAAAATGTGTTTCCTCTGGAACTCATTAATTCTTCTCCATGGACCCTTTCAGCTGCCTAGGGGACAAAGCCCTTAACAGCTTAAAGCTTCCTACAATGAAAGGAAGGGCAAAAGAAGGTCAGTGGGAGTCCACCAAGCAAGGAAAACCCTTGATCCTAATTCCTACCCACCTTGCAGCTGTGCTGTACAGCATAGAAAGACAGGAATAGCACAATTCAGGTTCTAACTAGTTGATCAGTTCTATATTCCCCTTACAGAAGGCAACATGACAAGCTAATTGTGCTACAGATATGGAGGCTCAGGGCTAGACAGGCTGGAAGCTTATCATCTAGCTCAACAGTCCTGCCATTTTTGAGCTACCCCCACCATATGCAGCAACCAAATTCTCCAATCTGGATTAGAAGTTTCAGCACCCGCTCTATATGACGACTCCCGGCGTATAAGACAACTTCCAGCGTAAAAGATTACTCTCGCATATAAGATTACTCCTGCTTATAAAGCGACTCCCGCGTATAAGGCAACTCCCACATATAAGACGGCCCCTGACTTTTGAGAAGATTTTCTTGGGTGAAAAAGTAGTCTTATATGCCAGAAAATATGGTAGCTATACCTAGAGGGGGAAAAGATCAGCAAGCCTGCACTACCTCTTCTTCCCATTAGGGAATAAAGGCTTCTCTCTGAGGAACATCATATTAGATTTAGGTCCTGGAGACAAGAGCTTGATCTCTCTTAATCCCTTTTCCTGTATTATAAATCAAAGTACAGGTAAAAATTGGGGTCATGGAACTGGGTCTTACTCAATCTCATTGTGCAGCTGCTCAGACTTTAAGATCAGCAGTGGAGGCCCTCCTCTCAATCCCACCTCCTTCACAAGTGAGGTTAGTGGGGACAAGGGAGAGGGCCTTCTCGATAGTGGATCCCCAGCTCTGGAATGCTTTCCCCAAGGAAATAAGACAAGCGCCCACCTTGCTAACCTTCAGGAAGGAGCTAAAAATTGGTTATTTAAGCAAACCTTTGAGAATGGCTCGACTACATTGGAAGCCATCAGACACAGGAATGGTGATATACACTTAGATTGTTTTTACGGGACTATGAGTTTAAATTGCTCTGTCATTGTGAATTTTAGCTTCACAACAAATAGTTTTTAAACTGTTACTTATTAATACTTATGGTATTTCAAATGGAAATAAATGATAAATTGATTATTTTATTGTTGTTTCTCATGTATGCTCACAATTTTGTATTATTACTTGTAAGCTGCCCCAAGTCCCTTCAGGGAGAGGAGGCAGGGTATAAATAATAACATACTATTGTTGTTATTATTAATGTAGGAAGCTTAAAGATTTTAAAGCCTTTGTCCTCTACGCAACTGGTGATCTTCTTGTTTTGCAGTCATGTGTTATTGCACTAACATATGAACTAATGCATACATTCCTCTGAATCTAATTTCCTGATGGTGTCATCAGCAACAAGAAATACTCTGTTAAAATCATGAGAAAGGAAACAAAGAATACTGAGTGAAAATAAAGGAGTTTAAAGACAGATTTCTCATGGAAGGCCCACTCTTTGAAATTGCCCGAGTGGATGTGGCTGCTTCCTTTGGCCAACAGCACTGAACATGTCCATTTTTCCAGACATAGGAAGGTGGGAAGCCAAGCAAGAAGTCCAGATTTGAGGAGTGTCCTTTTTCAGTGGGCAGCAAAGTTAGAAGTAGAGAAAAAGCCTAGTCTCTGATGTAGGTGGTCATCAACTATCACAAATCAGCTTTGGACAAACTAACAGTGCTCCAGACAAAGTGAACTCACCAGCGCCTCCTCCCTGGAGAAACTTGAGGGCTGTATAGATGCAGATCGTTTGAAGCAGGATATGCCAGCCAGAGTCTTGGGTGAGCTCATTCACTGGAAGATGGGAGACAAGAGTTAGTCCAAAAGCCCCTGAGTTTTCCTGGGCCTCTTTAGCTTAGCCTAGCCTGCTTATACTTCCAATGTCTTCTCAGTACCCTTTATGTCACGGAACAATAATGATGTCTCTTTATAGTCCTCTCCCATGGGAATTGTAGAAAGCATCTAGTTTCCTGGATAGGATTTTTGTCATGTATATCTAAGTACCCAAGATGACAAGGACACAGGGGAAGGTGTTTTTAACAACAGAAGAGACTACATAGCACATCCAAAATGCCGCTAATAAAAGAATGGATGCGATCAGCCAACACAAGACAGGCCAAACATGAGATTAAATAACATCAGAAAATTATTTGTTTATGCATGCAATTTCTACTTTTCTTAACAAAAAATCTTTTGAGAATTATATAAATAAGGATGATAAATAAGAAGATGTACAACTGCATAATTGAGGAAATTTTTATGATATATGAAACATACAGAGACAGAAAATTTGTTTTTGGTTGTTGGGTACTAGAGAAGAACAGAAGTCAACACCTTTTTTCCTTTCTTTTTTTCTCTGTTTCCTTCTCACACACGTTCTTATGTTTTTATGTTTATTTTGTGTAATAATTAATAAAATGCCTGAAAAAAATTATTGCGACAGTATTACTCCTATATAATAACTGGAGGGAAGAGGAGATCCAGTTTCCACAGAAATTGAAAAATCTTGTTTCTGCACACTGCCAAAAGACAATCAGCTCACCATAATACCACAAGCACCCCCAGATTACCTCAAGAGACCTTTATGGGTATTGGGAGAAGGTAGCATTCAAACACAAAGGTAAGCATTGAGAAGTGACCTTCCTTTCTGTTGACTTGTTTGCTGGAAAGCAACTGGCTGAGAGATGTTTTTCTTTCACACCCTTCCCCCAAGTCTACTCTGTTCCCAGTTCACAGCCTTCCCACCCCGAGCAAAACAGCTGAATAAGCCACCAACACAAATTGGAATGCCAGCGTTGCATGGATTCTCACCCTGCGGGCAACAAAGGCAAACGTTTAAGCCCAAATTGTCTGATGTGGCCTCTTTGAAAGCATCAACAAGACAAGGCAGAAGCTTAGGACAGAATAGTTCAAGGCCCTCTGCCATGTCAAAAGCAGCCTGTGAGTCTGGACTTTCATGTTGCTTCCAGCATGATGCCCCCCATTGAAACACCCCAGATGGCATGGAAGGGTTCTCTGCGTTTCCACAGTTGTAAGCAGCACAGTTGTAAGGAGCCCCCGGTGGCGCAGTGGGTTAAAGCCCTGTGCTGGCAGGACTGAAGACCGACAGGTTGCAGGTTCGAATCCTGGGAGAGGCGGATGAGCTCCCTCTATCGGCTTCAGCTCCTCATGCGGGGACAAGAGAGAAGCCTCCCACAAGGATGACAAAACATCAGAAATCATCCGGGCGTCCTCTGGGCAACGTCCTTGCAGACGGCTAATTCTCTCACAACAGGAGCCATTGCTCCTGACACGACAAAAAAAAAAGCAAAAAAAAAGCAGCACCATAAGACCGAGTGAGAAGACTCTCTTAGTGGTACTTCCTACTGTTACTCTGCCCTCAGGTGCAACTCCCCACATCTGAAAGAATATTTAAAGTTTGATCAGCTTGCGTACATGGAAGGAAAGGGATTTTAATTTTGTTCTTTGTTCCAGAAAGCACAATATTCTGGGCCTATCATACATAAAGCTCTTGGACCAGATCTTTGTAGCACCAAGGACTTCACCAGAGATGGAGTCAACATATTCAGGATTCAGTTCTGGGTTCCACTCTTCCAACATGCCACCAGCCCCACCCTTTCCTTCTCTCAAGTGCGGGCTCCTGGTGGGGCAAATCTGTCGGGGGGGGGGGGGGGGGGGCATCTATAATTTAGGAGTGTGGAGGAGGTACCCTTGTGAGCCAGCCCTGTCCATAGGCAGAGTGAACTACCTCTGATGGCAGGCACTTGGGTCTGCTTTTGTTCCTAAGAATTCTCTGGCTGTTCTCTTTGTTGGAGGATAGATGTTTGTTCTCACCCAACTAAACAAATCAGGTACAAGAAAAGCATGGTGGTGTGTGTGTGTGTGTGCATGTGTGTGTGTGTTAGGAACAACTTGAGAAACTGCAAGTCACTTCTGGTGTGAGAGAATTGGCCATCTGCAAGGACGTTGCCCAGGGGATGCCCGGATGTTTTATAATCTTATAGGAGGCTTCTCTCATGTCCCCACATGAGAAGCTGGAGCTGACAGATAGGAGCTCACCCCACTCCCCAGAGTCAAACCTTTCAGTCACCAGTCCTGCCAGCACAAGGGTTTAACCCATTGTGCTACCAGGGGCTCCTATGGCAGTGGTGAACACAATTTCATTATCAATTTTTTTATCATTTATCCAAAATGCTTGGGAGTGGAATTGCTTTGGATTTTAGATTTTTAGAGATTTTGGAATTCCTGTATTTGCATGTACATAGGTACATATTTGCAAATATATTGAATATGGGGCCCAAGTTAAAATATGAAATATATTTATGTTTCGTATATGCCGTATGCACATATACTGGAGGTAAACAATAGTTTGCAGAAATTTTCTGCATGAAACAAAGTGTGTGGACATCCAATCCACAAAAAGCAAATATGACACTATCTCAGTCACCCGTGTGAACAATTTTAGAGTATTCTGGATTTCTGGAAAAGGAATGCCCAAGCTGAACATATCCACATTTGTTGTTGTTCAAGGTTACCTAGTGTGTTTCCATGGCAAAACAGGAAATCAAACCCTGGTCTCTAGAGTCATAGTCCAATGCGCAAACCCCTACACTATCCTGACTGTCACACAAATACAGAGAAAGAAGAAAAAATATTCTGCATTCCTCCTGGCATTGGTAGATAGGTAGGTATATAGATAGAATTGTTGATATTATATTAACATTATTTCAGTGGTCCAAATGCAACTGCTAGTCACAATTACAGGAATCCCTGTAGGATTCACTGTTGACTTTTCATACACTTGAGGGCTCCCTGGTGGCACAGCGGGTTAAACCACTGAGCTTCTGAACTTGCTGACCAAAAGGTTGGTGGCTCAAATCCGGGGAGTGGGATGAACTCCCATTGTTAGCCCCAGCTTCTGCCAACATAGCAGTTCAAAAACATACAAATATGAGTAGATCAATAGGTACTGCTCCGGCAAGAAGGTAACAGTGGTCCATGCAGTCATGCCGGCCACATGACCTTGAAGACGATTGCGGACAACGCTGGCTCTTCTGCTTAGAAATGGAGATGAGCACCAACCCTCCAGAGTCGGACACAACTAGACTTAATGTCAGGGGAAACATTTACCTTTACCTTTATCATACAGTATTTGATTCAATAGAGCTGCTCTAGTTGAGCAATTGGACATGAGACTTAATTTTTATGAACGTTGCCCTTGGAGCCCCTTGTACATACATGTATTTTTGTATACCAACCATTTATTTACCAGATGACAATATGCACTCTAGTATAAAACCGTCTAACTGTAGGACAGTGGCTGCTTCCTCTACATAGGACTTTCCTCGGCACATCTCATTACCTATCTCTCAGGAGTGATGGGCTGATGCTGGGTTTTGGGTTGTTTTTTTTTTTTTTTTGTCTTTTGGAGATCCCCCCCCCCCCCCCCCCCCCCCCCCGCATACCTCTGTACTGCTCCTACCAAAGAGCCCCTCACTTTCTTTAACTTGGAAAGACACCGGAGGAGTCTCCTTGCTGCCTTTATTCTCTTTCAAGGAACCTCACAGCAACAAAGATCCCACCCTCCCCAACCCCCTACTGGGCTGCTGGGAGACCAGGCCAGGCACACAAAGGCTCCTTGTTTGCTCCTCGCCAGCGGCACTTTGCTGGGTAATCCTAACTGGCAGGGTGGGTGACCCCATCTGGGAGGGCCCCTCCTTTGCCTTTCATTCTTTCTACAGGGTGCAGGGAGGGAGGATCTCCTCTCCTTCCCACCCCACCCCACCCCAACTTGCTTGGTTGAAGGTGTTAGTCCACCCTCTTGCTGAACACAGGTAGGAATTAATACTCTTGCATGTGAAGAAAGATACACACCCTTGAGACCACAGGGGTGGAAGAAGAGATGAGGATACCTGGTGCTTGACCTAATACCCAATACTCATTTTGCATATCTCAGATTGAGTACTTCTCTATTTTTAAAGAAATTTTCTACAGAGAAAGCATCACTCAATGAGGGAAGATCCAAACTGAAGAGAAGCGAGACTCAAAGACAGTGAGACACTTTAGGCCACAAAGAGAGGATAAAACAGAAATAGGATTTCATCCCAGTTGTGCCATGGAATCATGTGACTCTCCAGATCAGTGTTTCTCAACCTTCCTAATGCCAAGACCCCTTAATACAGTTCCTCGTGTTGTGGTGACCCCCAACCATAAAATTATTTTCGTTGCTGCTTCATAACTGTAATTTTGCTACTGTCAATCACTGGAGCCAATTTGGCACAAATATCTGATATACCCAAATTTGAACACTGGTGGGGTTGAAGGATTTTGTCTTTTGGAAGTTGTAGTTGCTGGCATTTATAGTAAACCTATAATCAAAGAGCATTCTGAACTCCACCAATGATGGAATTGAACCAAACTTGGCACACAGAGCTCCCATGACCAGCAGAAAATACTGGAAGTGTTTCATGGGCATTGACCTTGAGTTTTGGAGTTGTAGTTCACCTACATCCAGAGAGACTGTGGACTCAAACAGTGATGATTTGGACCAAACTTGGCATGAATACTCAATATGGCCAAATGTGAACACCGGTGGAGTTTGTGGAAAATAGACCTTGACATTTGGGAGTTGTAGTTGCTGGGATTTATAGTTCACCTGCAATCAAAGAGCATTCTGAACCCCACCAATGATAGAATTGGGCCAAACTTCCCACACAGAACCCCCATGGCCAACAGAAAATACTGTGTTTTCTGATGGTCTTTGGTGATCCCTCTGACATGCCCTCATGACCCCT